AGAGGTATTTTTACTTTTTTCCTCCATTTTTTAATATGTAACCAAACTTTAAATGGTATATGTTACTTTAATAATTAGAAAAAAATTGTTTTGAGATTTAGTCCATTAATATAGAATAGATTGGAGGAGAAAAAAGTCTCTCACTGACCGTTACTTAGAAACTTAACCTGGGATTTACTTTTCTGTCTGTAAGTACTTTGGAAAGTGGAACATACAATGGACACTTTTGTTATTACTTAGGGCAAGCTCTGCCTGGGGAGGTCTCTTCCATCACTTAGTGACCTTGGATGACGAGTCTCTGCCCAGTAGTGGCCAGTGCCATGCACAACATTCACTTAAAAAAAAAAAATTCCTGTACCTCCTGGAGACCTTTTTTTAAAGGGGGGTGAGGTGGGGGGCATTTCTCTACTTAGTAGATGAGGAGAACATTTATTAAGCTACTTTTCCTGGGCTTCTCTCTCTCTTTTTTTTCCCCCCCATTTTGTGATGTCAGTAACTTGAAACCCTCTTATACTGTGGAATCCTAACTCTAGGTTTCTTAAGTTAGAAAGGAGGGCTGGGGAAACATGAAACATTCCTATTATACATCTTACTCTAGTAATCAACAATCCATATGCAAAACTCTTCGTTCACAGATAAATCCCTTGGGTCTTTGATCTATTATATTGGACGCAACCAAATTCAGTGATTCACTCAGGGTTACCTGAAAGAACTCAAGTAATCTCGTGAGTGTCAGAGAGTAGACTGCCTGGCACTGAGCAGAACACATTTCTTCTGAAGTGAGAATAACTTCAACTTTTTTTTTTTTTTGCGGTACGCGGGCCTCTCACTGTTGTGGCCTCTCCCGTTGCGGAGCACAGGCTCCGGACACGCAGGCTCAGCGGCCATGGCTCACGGGCCCAGCCGCTCCGCGGCACGTGGGATCTTCCCGGACCGGGGCACGAACCCGTGTCCCCTGCATCGGCAGGCGGACTCTCAACCACTGCGCCACCAGGGAAGCCCCAACTTCAACTTTTTCTCTTTCCAGTCTTCACAAGAGCTGTCCTTAACATTTTAAGTGTCGTTAGGTACCTTATAAAAAAAAAAATCACTGATTTATTCTACATAATTTGGTGAACTTGGCTTTTAAGGAATTCAGGGACTTTGTACCAAGTTTAATTTTAAACAGAAATCACAGTCCTTTGAACATGGTGAGATCAAATGGACATTTGCAGACCCTTCTGAAGAAATACATTGTATTTCTTCAATGTATCTTCATATCTTCCATCTTTCTTTAGCAATCTATATTGCTCTAATGATAAAGACTAGGTGATTTCTAAATAATTTTGTGAATTATCAGTTGTTTCTTATCTTTTTTCCCTCTTTTAACCAAAGGCTATGCCAACCTTGCCAAAATAAGACACAGCATTGATTTAATTAATTATCTGGATAATCTGGCCCTCTTACATGACCCTCTTGGTCACAATCTCCCTTTTCTGAGAAGCCTCGTTATGATTGGCTTACATCTGTTGAGTCTTTAAAATTCAAACTATGACAGCTAAGATTACATTTAAGCCAAGGCTGGAACTCCAAAAAGCCAGAACTTACTTCTAAATGTCTAAGAACTCCTGGGGGTGGCTCTCAGTGTGCAAGCAGAGAGCAGAGTGGCTAAGGGCCAGGAGGATATGGCTGGAGCCCCGGCTCTGGCCTGCACTGCCTGTGTGAACTTGGACAAGGGCCTTTACATGCCTAGGCCTCTTATTCTTTCCTCATATATAACACATGCTGAGATGTTACAAGCACATACTAAGTGCTCGATGAATGGAAGCAATGAATACTTTTGCTTCTCAATCTGTAAAAATAGAAATAAAATGCTAATTCCACATATACTGCAACTATCATCAAGTGTTCTACACACCTAAAGGGTTCTACAAACATCGTTTTAGTTTCTGCAATAAGGGTGTATTCTCATTTCTTCCATGGTGCCTATGCTTAATATTAAAAAGCAGGTCATTTTATTCCATACAGCTTTTTTTTCCCCTTTTTTCAGTGTAGAATTCAACACTTGCCTCCACCCCCAAATTACTGCCACCATCAAAATTGAAAAATGTGATGATAGACTTCATTAGAGTAAATATTCCATAATATTTGGGTTTCTTCCCTAACTGGCCTATAACATTACAGGGAAAGCTCTACATAACAGATAACATTCATAGAAAACAAGAGGAGGCCCTGGACGGGCTGTTACAGGCTTCTTCATAGCAGCCCCACACGTGGCACTAATAGCTCTGAGAAAACGTGTAATGCCTTCACACAGTCACATGTGCTGCTTATTCAAATTTCAGTGGAATCTTGCCTATAGCTGGGTTTTCATTTTAAAGGTTCTGCCCACATTTCCGACAGAAACCACAAATTGAGATGTTTATTATCATTAAAAAAAAAAAACCTCATCTAGGGAACATTTACAGTGATTTCAGTATCCTTCTGTTCTTGACAAGTTAGAGACTTAAAAGCTAATGAGCTATTTTATTTTTTAATTTGGGGTTTCTTCATCATCTTGAACACCCGTGAACCAGGGACTGTTTTGACCTTTGGACTCCCATGTCACCTAACCTACTTTAGAATTAGTAAATTACTGAAATGTGAATCATTGTTCACTCATAGCAAGGTATAATATACACCTGCCCACTCTGAAAGAAGAACGGTAGAAACCTACGTGTGTCCGTCTGTCCATAGAACATGACAAGACTCCACATCAAGAGCTGCATACTTTCAGAAGTCTACTGTAGACCCGTATTTGTATATAATAGGTTCACTGTTCCTCCTCTTTATTGTGCCTCAAAGCAGTTGGGGTAAAATGTTCTTTTATTCATGACCCACCTATGACCGGGTCACTCTTTAGCTCACATTGCAATTCTTTCCCTCCAGTTTAACAGTAAGAAAAAGTGAGTTCTGTTCTTTGCACCCTGCCCCATTTTGCAAAATTATCATCTGATACTGGAAGGCAAAGTGAGGTTTTGGAAACTTATCAATTTCTTTTCTCCATCTCCCCACCCCTAACTCTGATAAAATATCTCTACCACCAGGCAGCCTGTAAGCTCATAAATACACTGGTGCTTAAGGGATAAGGACCTCAAAGGACACTTACTGATAAAACTTGCTTCGGTGCAACAAGACAACTCTTCCAGCACTTTGCTTATGTCACCTATGACAAAGAGCTTAGCAACGTCTCGAGGATGAGTGAATTATTAGACCCACTAGGATAGACCACCTGTGTAGTCGTCTTTTATGTCTACCGTCCCTTTTGTGACCTCAGGGAGACCCCTTTCTTTACACTCAAATCAAATCCTTAGTTATATCACCTTGCATTAAATCAAGGCAAATGTGAGGCAATACTGTGGTATGTTTCAGGCCATTTAATTATGGCAAAGAATACTCATTTCTTGCAGTTATACACACATACACAGCTGCTACATTTCAGGGAGAAGCGATCAGGTGAGCAGCCTGGGCTTTCTGACAACCTTTGGAGCAGCTCCAATTAGATAAGCTTTAAAACAGTAAAAGGTTGAAGTGAATACACAGCACTTGACTCATCTAAAATGTGCCGTGTAATAAATTCAGGCCTAAAAACCTTTCCAAAGATTAGAGGAAAGGCCCAAAGTCACCAGTTAATTATGCAAAAAGGGAAGGTTTGCGGGGGGGGGGCGGTGGGGTGAAGGTGGAGCATCAGAGGAGCCCTTGGGGGACCCTGGGGAGGTGCTGGCAGAGGAAAGTGGCAAGAGAAAAGATATAATATTTCATCAAAGGAAATAAACTGGCTTACTAGCTAGACAAAGGTCTCCAGAGTCTATGCTGCAATACATTGTGAACACTTGTCAGCAATAAAATTCGAACTAAAAAGTAGCTTACAAGGTGGGCTAAGTATTTGGGAGTTAAACAGTTGCAATCAATCAAAAGTTCTGAGCACAGAGAGACAAATGCAAGCAGATATTCATCAAAAGGAGGAGTCAAATGAACCCCCTTCCGAAAAACTGTTTGGTTCTTTAAAACTAAAGGTGCATCAAGATAGGTGCCTTTTCTATACAAACATCCTTTGAGGTCTCTTGACTTAAGGAAAAGAAATAAGAGTACTACAACGTCAGGAGCCGCTCAATCACCTGCCGGGGCCAGTTCCGACCCCTGTCCATCAAGGTGACAGGCTGCTGCCCTCTTCCCCCAATCCTCTTCCCGGCCTTAAAAATGCAACTGCATCCCGCCGCAGGCCTGCGAAAACGGGCCTCACAGGCAAAGTGCGGAGTACCAGTGCCCCGCTGCTGGAGAGGCTGCAGCAGTCGATTTGCAATGACGCCACATGGAGAGAAATAGGGGAAAACACGAAGAAGAAACAAGGATGAGAAGGCAACAAACAACAATGTGCTCCCCTTTTTAGTGGTGCAAGACGGAAAGAAAGGAAAAACAAAAAACAAAAAAACCCAAACTAGAGATGGCCAATGGTCGGCTTATCAGGACACATATGGGACGCCTCTAATCCACACATGAGCTTAAAAAAAAAAAAAAAAAAAAAAAAAAACAAGGAAGTACCTGGGAAATCAACTTGGACACTTTCTAATACAAAATTCTCCCCATGATCACACCACCACAAACTCGGGATAAATAAAAACTCCAGCACTCAAGCTATTAGAAACTACATTTTACTTACAAACCAGAGGTTTACATAATCACAAATTACATAATACTCCTTCTGTGCACTAAAAATCCTTCTGTAAGTGAAGCTCCAAACCCTCCTATCTTTTAACGTTTTCCAGGGAGAGCTGGAGAAGTCTGCGGAAGAACTGGGGGGGAGGGGGAAATGGAATGCTGGAAAGTCATCTTTGACAAGCTGTCAACCCAGCCAAATGTTCCAGGATAAAAACAGACTCGGAGCAGGTGACTCTCCTCTGTCCCCATCCCCTGCCGCACGGGCGTCTAAGGCCAAGGCAGAGGGAGCAGGGCGCAGGGTGCGGGGCGCGGCCGGGGCTTACCTGCTCCCCGAAGTCGATGGCTATGTTGGTGATGCCCAGGGGCACCAGGAACCGGATCAGGGGCCAGTAGTGCGTGAGCGCCGGAAATTTCACCATAGTCCCCGCCGTGGGCGGACCCCACACACATCTGCCGCCGGGAGGAGACTCTGCCGGGAGGCGCGGGCCGAGCAGGCCGGGCGGGCGCGGGCGGA